CAGGGGTCAGGGGCACAGGAAACTCGAGCAGCTCAGAGTTCAAAGCACAGGACTGAAGGTCCAATAACCAATCGCTCAAGTCCCCCCCCCCCCCCCCCCCCCCCCGCCTGTAGGAATCCAGGCATGCCAATCACCTGGGACGCGGGTCTTCGCCTTCCTCCACCAGGAAGACCAGATGGTGTCAGTTAAATCCCAATCCCTATCCACATGTGGCCAAGATGGCGCTGGCTAGACCCATTTCCAAATCACTCCTGGGATCAGATCCTGGGTCCGTGGGAAACTGAAATCAGGTGACCGCATGTTGACCATCCTTCCTTTTCTCCTTGCCAAGTAAATGCCATCCACCCTCACACAGCTCCCTAGCTGGCCACGCACAGGCACCTGTAACCTTAGCCTACCTCTGAACCCCCCGAGCACTTTATCTCGAGTCCCTTTATTATTGGCTTGGGCAAGGAAATGTGCCATTAGTGATTTAATCTCCACAAGATATTTCTTCCTAATTGCTAGTCACCGATGATAATTAGCATCTGCTAATGCCTGATAATTAACAAGCTAATACTTAGAGGTAATGGCACGGGGTAATCATCTTAAATAGCTCAAATCTGCCAAGCTCCTGGGTCCCAGTTTCCAGTGTGACACTGTATTTTGGCATCTCAAGCCCTGCAGAGTGGTGTGTGAGTGTGTGTGTGTGTGTGTGTGTGTGCGTGCGCACGCGCGCACGCTCGCATGCTGGTACAGGGCTTGAACTCAAGAACTCACAATCTTGCTGGGCTAGCACTCTACCACTTGAGCCATACCTCCACTTCCATTTTTTTACTAGTTAATTGGAGATAAGAGTCTTACATTGTTCTGCCCTAGGGCTGGCTTTGAATTGTGATCCTTAGATCTCAGCCTCCTGAGTAGCTGGGATTACAGGCGTGAGCACCAGTGCCCAGCAGAGTGCTATATTTTTATTTATGGGGACAGTGGTGGGAAAACTGATCTCTCTAATCTTTGATTTCCTTTTCTTCTCTGGCTATAGAAACAACGCTTGATCTTTTAGAAGCCTCGTTGAGCACAGAAAAGTAAAAGGAACATAAAATATACTTAATTGTACTACATATATGCATCAACCACCAAACTTTTGGTTTATTTCTTCCCCATCTATGAATATTTGGCACAATCAAGCTGACTGTGTGGTTTTGCCATCAGCTTGGCTCATCGACCTTACAGGAGAAAGATTTTCCCACGTCATAGCAACTTATAAAAAAAAAAATGTCTGCCTCAAAAGAAAATGCAATGAATGGATGAGGTAGAGAAAGGAATGAGAAAATTGGGTCAGAGAAAAGCAATGGGAGAGCAAACACTCAAACACCTTTCTCTGATGAGGTGGAGCTGGAGGCCATTTCTGACCAGAGCATCTCCAAAGCTTTGGTCTCCTGAAAGCTAGGTGGAAGAATATGGGTGCATAGGGGCTGGGAAGGTGGCTCAGCGGTAGAGCGCTTGCCTTGCATGCATGAGACCCTGGGTTCGATTCCTCAGCACCACATAAGCAAAAAGAAAAAGCCGGAAGTGGTGTTGTGGCTCAAGTGGTAGAGCGCTAGCCTTGAGCTGAAGAGCTGAGGGACAGCGCCCAGGCCCAGAGTTCAGACCCATGACCGGACCCAAAAAAAAAAGAATATGGGTGCATAGACGCACGATTCCATAGGAAAAAGACTGGACAGCCAGGAACCAAGATGCTGATAATGGTAGTGTTTTCAGAGAGGAAAAAGAATACATGGACTGGGGACTTGGCTCAAGGGATATGAATGTTTGTATCACAAGTACAAGGCTGTGAGTTCAAACCCCAGTACTGCTGAGAGAAACAGAGACAGAGAAACAGAGACAGACAGAGACAGAGAGAAAGAGAGAGAGCGCTAAAGGTAGTTTTCATTTCATATTATAGTTCTCTATGCAATACAGAGGAAAAAATTACTGGATCAGCATTCAAAATATTTCCCTTTCAAACTCTCATCTCTCTAAATAACAGGCTGACTCGCCTCACCTACCTGAGCCCCCTAGAACTTGATTCCCTTATGTGTGGGCTAAGTCCTTCCAGCTACAGGGTGGTTTTCTGACTCACCAATACTGAGTCATAGGGTACCACCACGAAACAGCACAGGAGGTTCACCTAGTCACAGCCCATAGGACGCCCAAAACATCCAGCAATGAGAATTTATATAAAACTTGGCCTCTTAGGAAGAAAATGTTTCAAAGACTTTCCTGATTCCCCCACCCAACTTGAACCTACTTGTAGTAACTTCAGTAGGAGACAGTGGAGTCCAGGTTATAGACTTTGCACTTAGACCTACTTTAATTAAATCCACAGTCTGCCACCACCACCTACAATGTCCTGCTTGGCATCTGTAGGCCTCAGTGGTCCCGTCCATGAAATGGGGTTCATATTACCTACACATGGGTTAGAGTGGGGACCTGGTGAGACACCACACAATAGAACTTTGCTCTGTGCTGAGTCAATAGTATTATTGGTACTCAGTCAATAACATTATTTATTTAGGAAGAAATAGAACATCATAAAGCATAAATATAATTTTATGGTGAATATAATTTCACAGTGAATATACGTCATTTTCACCACACATGGGGTTCCATCACTCTATTATAGCCTGTGGGTGGGGCTGTGTCTCTCCAGGTTTTCCTAAGCTCACCCCAGGTTATTGGGTCTGATGTGGTAGAGTTTGGCCGGCAAGGTGACCTTCGGCCTCTTCCTTGATGTCCTGCTTTTATGGATTCAGATAGAATCTCCTCTCCACTTTCATCTCTCCAAATCTCCGAGACCTGAACCTTTCTCATGGCTCTGTCAAGCTGAACGCTAACACCGGCTGCTCGGCTTCCGCCAGACACCAGCTGTCACGTTTCAGGAGCGTGGATCTGTTCACTCGGCGGGAACCCGGGCTTAGCCCATTGTTGCCTAATAATATAATACTTTACCCCGGGACCGGGCTTTAGAGTTCTACAAAGCGCAGTCGTATCCACATCGCTGCTAATCCCGGTGGTGATTTGGTGGAGTGGACAGACCGGGTCATCTTTTTTCTCTTGGAGGGGCAGCAGGATTCCCAAAGTGGGTTTCCCAGAATGCGGTGCCGCCCTCTATAAGTTTGGAAAATTTAGGAATAAGCAAAACTAAGCAGGTTTTTCAGCACTTCACTCGGTATGTGACAGGTCAGGGACAGCATGTCTAGGGATTCCCTGCCCCTAACAGTCCTTTGATCAAAGAATAGTCCATGGGAATTGATCCGTGCTCCTCCCTGTTGCGTGGAGAATGGCTTGGTGTTGGGTTTCTCCCTTCTCAGTCAACCAGGGGCTCCATCCTTGAACTCCTGTCCCACCTGCCTTGCAGAAATGGTGCCTTTGTGTCCCACAGGCAAATGCTCAAAGCCAGCATGTGGCTCATTCTGTCCATCCATAAGCTCTCCCACCATCAGATGCTGGGGCATCAAAGCCAAGACACCCCCTTCCTGACAAAGGCTACCGATCTCCCCGCGCCCCCTCCTGTGAGCTCAGCTCCACAGGCTAATCCAGCTCCTGTGGCTTTTCAGCTACCTGGTGTTTATGTATGCTTCAGATCTCAGCTAAGACATCACCCCCTGCCTTGCTACGGCTCCTGGAATTCCACTGTGGCCCCCAGGAGGGGTGGACCGCCCGATCCCTGACATCCTGTTTCAACACTTCTGGCTTTGTAATGCTCAAAAGCTGTGGACGGTGTGGGCTCCTGCGTGCAGCTCTGGTGAGACCCTAGGCCAGATGGCTCCTGTGGGTTTGTGTCCTGTCTGTGTCATGGCAGGGGCTTCGTGACAATGGCAGCGCTCGTTTGCTTAGCATAGGGCTTCCCAGACATTAGCAGGCAGACAGCCTACTTTGATCTTGTTTAAATGAGTCTTGTGTAGAAAGTGGGAGGGACCAGAAATTTTGCTTTTCTAATGAGCTTCCCCAGGATGCCAGTGATCTCCATGGCCCGTTCCCAGATCAACTGCCTTCCTATCGGAAGTAATGTCAGAATCTCTTTGCTTGTGCCTAGGAATCGGGGATGTCTAGATAGACACTCCCCTGAGCCATTCTAGACAGCAGCCAGAGTTCGCAAACCCTGTAGGCTCTGTGGGTCTGGTGTCCATTTACCCTATACCCAACTGCTGTCCCGCCCACCTCCCAGCCCAGTCCTGGCACTGTGGGACATCAGGAGGCAAATCCATGGCTCACCTTGCAGACTCCCAGCGTCTCCCTTCTGGCTGGCCCAGAGCCGACTCCTGTGTTGCAGTGTTGTGGGCAGGCACCAGGGTGCACATTCTGATTAGGTAGATTTAGCAGACCCGTTGAACTTGGCCTTGGGCATGGCTTCTTGGGTTGCCACAGTCCTGCATCTGCTTAGAGTCCCAATCAGGAAGAGCTGACCCTGCCTGGCCTTGTGCTTCTTCCTGAGGCTTGGCTCTCTCCTGCCTTCTTCCTGTCTGCCATCTCTACTACAGTCCTCACCTGCTGCAGAAAACAGCTCTGGGGATGCAAGAACAAAGTTGGAGGCATGTCCATCTTTGTACCTCCCATTCTGGCATATGGGTTGCTGGAGGAGGAAGGAAAGAAGTAAAGAAGGGAGGGAGGGAGGAAGGAAAGGAAGGGAGGGAAGGAAGGAAGGAAGGAAGGAAGGAAGGAAGGAAGGAAGGAAGGAAGGAAGGAAGGAAGGAAGGAAGGAAGGAAGGGAGGAAGGAAGGAGGGGGAGGGAGGGAGGGAGGAGAGGGAAAGAAGAGAGGGAGGGGAGGGATGCCCCTCTGTCACCATGGCCTAGAGCCCAGCTGTTTAAGCGTTCTCTGCGTTAGGCAGGATTCGCTTTGGTTTCTGGGTTCCTGTGTCTCATCTTGACCTTTTCAGGGCTGTGATCACCACCAACTGCTCCTCCTCCCTCCTGTCCAAGAATCTACACTATCTCCGTGGGACTGAGACTACTGGTCACCGAGTGAACATCGGGGACCATGAGCGCGTGCGGGAGGAAGGCCCTGACCCTGCTCAGTAGTGTCTTTGCCGTCTGTGGCCTGGGCCTTCTGGGCATCGCAGTCAGCACGGACTACTGGCTGTACCTGGAGGAGGGTGTGGTCCTACCCCAGAACCAGAGCACTGAGGTGAAGATGTCCCTGCACTCAGGCCTCTGGCGGGTCTGCTTCCTGGCAGGTAAGGGCACTGGGGGTTGTAGACAGCTCTGCCCCAGGGCAATCTTGTCCCAGGAGCCCTTCCCTAGGAGGAGGCTACAAATAGGCTCAACTGCCTAACGCAGCCAGGATCCTGGTCCAAACTTAGGTTGGTCCTAGGTTTCCACGTCCACTTGAGAAAACCTTTCCATCTTCCAAGACTTTCCTCTGAGAGTAGGGTGAGTTCTAAAATGCTCCCGGATGCCCGAACCCCTCGAGCTGTAGGTCCCACACGATTCTTTCCACCACACCACGAAGCAGACTTGTTATTATTTCCACTGTGCAGATGAGGAGGGAAGACGTGGGGCGGGGAGGTTCTGTAGGTCTCCTTCAATCAGCCTCACGGTGTCGCCTAGTTTGCAGGATGGAAAGCAGCTGCGTCTCTGTCCCTCTGTCCCTGAAATGGCTCAGGGAAGACAAGAAGGCAGGTCCTCCTGCTGTGCGGGATGGACCCCGACTCTCCGTCTCCCAGCTCACTAGGACTCCTCTGGAACTGTGCATCCACAATAGGTCCAAGAGTTCGGGCCTTGATGCCTTGATCCTGGCCGAGCTCCTGCCTGGACAGGAAATCCATCCCCCATGTCCCCATGAGACCAGCTGCAGGCCTCTACTGACCGGCCAGGACTCACTCGCTGGGCTTTTGTTGGTTAAGCCCCGTGACTTGGGTACACAGTGGTTAAAGGCACCGCTTGGCCTTTCCAAAAATTCCTCCCCGCTTTATGGGGCCCGCAGGGATGGGCTGCTGGGTAGGTGGGAATTAATTATCAGGGAGAGCGCCTCCAGCCTCAGCCTTCTGACCACTGCTGGGTCTGCCTGGGGAAGAACATCCCACCCTGATCCCTCGCATGCTTGGGCTCCAACCTCTGCTTAAATCTGAAGCAAAGACCAATTTGTTTTCCTGAGTCGGGTTGCCAAAGGGGCTGACAGGCATTGAAGGTTCTGCTCCGTATCATCCATACTCATGAGTCTGAGTTCCCCGTGCATCTTCCTTGGACCCTTCTGTTCAACAGCAATCAGGGCCGTTTGCTCTGCGTGGCGCTCACAGTGCTGACCACATTCCATGTAGCAGTGCATACTTGGCTCCATCTTCCAGGATGGACTAGAGCTGGGGGCCATCGGCCAGGGACAGACTCCTCTAGAGTTTGTATCCAGCCTAGATGTAGAAACATCGTGGGTTAAAGATCCCAGAAGCATTTGGGGAAAACATTGGAGTGTAAATCCATGTTCAAGAACTTAGAAATGTCAATCATTCTCATCTCCACAGGAGAGGAGCGAGGACGCTGCTTCACCATAGAGTACGTGATGCCTATGAACTCCCAGCTGACCTCGGAGTCCACGGTCAATGTTCTAAGTAGGTGTCCTGAGTGTTCTAACTTAGACAGAGGATCAGGGAAAAGAAAAGGGTCAGGCAATCTGCATGTTCTCAAGAGTTAATGCCTTCGACCTCCTCCTCTTGCCCTGGCTGGAGTCCAGTAGAGCCTGCTCTGCTAATTTAATCTTCTAGGGATAGAGATGAGTAGTTGGAGTCGCTAAGTCTGTGAGGCCAACCAGTCAGAGGGCACTCCCTCTCCAGGAACTGAACCCATCTTCCTACTGTAACGAGAATGGTTTCATGACCCTGGCCCCGCCAGAGCTGGTTCTAAGTCCCACGGTGAATTTGCGTTATTCTCGTACATAGCAAAATGGTTCCAGAATATCTCCATAATGGCCATGAAAATCTGTGAATGCTCAGGTCTCTTATATTAAATGGGGAAGCATTTTTTTCTTTTGGTCCGGTCGTGGGGCCTGAACTCTGGGCCTGGGCGCTGTCCCTCAGCTCTTCAGCTCAAGGCCAGCGCTCTACCACTTGAGCCACAGCGCCACTTCCGGCTTTTTTCTTTTTGCTTATGTGGTGCTGAGGAATCGAACCCAGAGCTTCAGGCATGCAAGGCAAGCGCTCTACCACTGAGCCACCTTCCCTGCCCAAAATGGGGTAGCATTTGCACTTGACTAATACACGTCCTTCTTCATAAAGGATACAAACCAAAGCCAGCCAAATGGAGAGACACTCAGAGAAAGGTCTGGAAGGCAGAGCTTCAGTGTCATCCCCCTCCCCTACAAAACCAGGATTCATCACAATCCTGACACGTGAATACATTCACTAGGAAGCTCAGCCCAGCTTCGGTGTCCAGCATTTTTATTGGGTTTCACTGTGTAGATGTGATTGATTGAATTACTGAATGTGAGCCTGAACTCGGTATCGACCCCACCATCTTCCCCCCAGAGATTAGGCTGATATCACCTGATCAAATCCCCCACCCCTCTAATGTCGTGATTAATTCTTCCAGCCCCTGTCCTGACTCACCTGTTAGCCACCACTCAGGTGTGGTCGAATAACGAATGTGTGCTCATCACGAATAACAAAGATGCTGTCCCTTGGGAAACTCTAAGGATTTAGAGGTGATCTCGTTGGGTTCAGACAGATTCTTCATTTCAAACTAGATTATACACCTGCTCCCTAAGTCATTGTAAACTGAAGAAAGGAGGCCAGGGACTGTCCCACGTGCCTGCCACTCAGAGCGGCCCCATGCTCTTGGAAGTGACCTCCTCCTCCCTGGAAGCGTACCAGCCGCAGTAGTAGACTTGCGGAGAAGCTGTTGATGCCTGGAAAGAACAGAGCCCTAGTGTGGTGGCATCCAAAGTCAGCCTTCCAGCCCTGCCTCAGGGACTCATGTGAGCTCAGGGCTTTAAAGGACCTGTTGGTTGAAACTGCTAGAAGGTTCCACTTGGGATGAGACACTGTAAGGCCACTCGAGACTGACCAGTCATTCCTTTGCCCCCTGAATTAGAAATGATCCGCTCCGCCACTCCGTTCCCCTTGGTCAGCCTCTTCTTCATGTTCATTGGGTTTATCCTGAGCAACATCGGGCACGCCCGACCCCACCGGACCATCCTGGCCTTTGTCTCGGGCATCTTCTTTATCCTCTCTGGTAAGTTGGTTTTTGGTATGTTTGTTGCCCATGGGGCTTGAACTCAGGGTCTGGACGCTATCCCTGAGCTTTTCCCACTCAAGGTGAGCACTCTACCACTTTGAGCCACAGCAACACTTCTGGTTTACTAGTGGTTTATTGGAGATAAGAGTCTCATGGACTTTGCTGCCCAGGTTGGCTTTGAACCACGATCCTCAGATCTCAGCAATTGCAGGGGATTGCAGGCCTTGAGCCACAGGTGCCTAGCAAGTCATGGGTTTTTCCTTTTTTTAATTCATGCACACTATACTATGTGATATTTAACTCCTGAGCAGCTGTTTGGAAAAGCACTCGTGATGGCTGGAGACCAGCACCTGGCACTGGATACAGGATGAACTGAGTCAGTGATCAAAGTACAATTGCAATAGGGAAGAAAGAGATGACCCCAGGCCCATCTATGATGGGCCAGAAGCATAACAGAGGCTCTAGAGTTGGGGTGACCCTGGGCTCCCCCTGGGCAGAATTGGAATAGGAACCAAGTCCCCACATACACACACTCTACATCAACCACTACCCCTTCCTCTCCCACTGATGACGAATATTCCTATGTTGGGAATATTGGTCCTGCCTCTGGAATATTGGTCGTTCACCCCCAGTCCTCTGCTACCTTTCCTTTCACTCACCGATCACCCCACACCCTGGGCCCGCCAGGCTCTCTGAACACATACGTGTCTTCCTGGACTGGCCCTGCATTGTACTTCTCTCATTCGCCCTATCTGCCAGGACACATCATGGATCCGTGGAGTGACAGATACAAACAGGTCCACGAGCAACAGAACCTGCATGAAAAGAGCTATGATAGGGGTTAGCAGGGTGGCTGTGGGGGCCAGGAGAGACAGTTAAAATTCAAAGGATCCCTCAGGGAGGCCTGCGGGAGCAGGTGAGCAGAAGGGTGAGTCGGAGTCAGGCAATGAATAATTGGGGCTGGAGCTGTGGGTGGAAAGGGCTCCAGGAGGGCAGAGAGAGGAGGAGTGGTGGATGGAACGGGGCCATCATTGTGATTCGTGGTGGTGAGTGGAGAAACGAGATGAGAAAATGAGGCCCCACGCATTTCATGGGTCTCAAACGTTAGCCAAGGAATGCCAGGCTCAGATTTGGAGCTTAGATCACCTCCTCGGAGGAGGAGCGGAGGACGGAGAGGACAGAGAGGAGGCTAGGGGACTGGGGCGAGGGGTCCCTACAGTCAGGCAGGAGGAGCAGCAGCCATGGCCCAAACTGGCACTGATGGCCGGGCAGGGGGCGCGGAAGCTCAGGTGGCATCTGAGAAGTAACTCCCAGGGGGCCAGGACTCCGCTTCCCAGGGAGGAAGCCAGGGAGTGGGAATCCCTGCCATGGCGCTCACAGCAGCAATCCTTGGATCACAGGAAACACTTTGGGGGAAATGCCAAGTGTTTCGTGTGGGAAATCTGGGGCTGGGGCTCAGGGAGTCACTTGGACCCAAAGAAATAAATCTGGGAACGGTGAGCCTAGGGAGTAGGAAGGGGGCCATGGACCAGGCTCCTCTCAGGCAGTGCAGGAAGACAGGGAAACAATGTGATGAATAAAGTAGATGCTTCTGCCCCTACGTGAAGGCCAAGGCAGTTCGAGGGTGACCTTTTCTTCTGGAGCTGAGGACCTGCTAGAGTGATCTCCAGGCATGCATGTTAGGTTCCCTAGGCAGGTTACTCACAGAACAAAGGCTGAGGAGAAGATGGTCAGTTAGAAGATGGGTAAGGAGGGCTGGGAATGTGGCTCAGTGGTAGAGTGCTTGCCTAGCATGCATGAAGCCCTCGGTTCGATTCCTCAGTACCACATAAACAGAAATGGGTGGCAGTGGTGCTATTCAAGTGGTAGAGTGCTAGCCTTTAGCAAAAAAAAAAAAAAAAAGCAGCTCAAGGACAGTGCCCAGGCCCTGAGTTCAAGCCCCAGGACTAGCAAAAAAAAAGGGGGACGGAGTGAGGAGCCTGGAGGATGGGTAGTGGATCAACGATGGATGGATGCATGCATGTGCAGACAGATAGATGGAAAGAAATAAAACACATCTCTCAGACATCCAGTATTCTGACTGCCACCCGACTCACAAGTCGCTGTATGATCCTTTCCCAGCATTTTGTCAGCATCGCTTGGAGACACAGTGGCAGTGAAATTGTCGTGCCCAAATGTCATTCTTCCTTTCTCTTTCCTTCCATTTATCCATCTGTCCATCCACCAATACATATATACACTCCTTCTGTTCATCTGTCCACCCATTTTTAAATCTACCCACAGCACACATCTGCCATCCATTCTTCTGTTATTTATCCTTCCACACTTCAGGCTACCCACACATTTTTAACAATATTTTCCTCCTCAGCCTCTCCTCTCTCCCCTTCCTCCCTTCTTTTCTTTCTTCCCTTCCTCTTTCCCTCCCTCTTTCCCTCCCTCCTTTCCTCCCTTTCTTTCTTTCTTCCTTCCTTCCTTTCTTTCTTTCTTCCTTCCTTTCTTTCTTTCTTTCTTTCCCATTCCTGGAGTTTGAACTCAGGGCCTAAGCTCTGTCTCTGAGCTTTTTTGCTCAAGGCTAGCACTTTATCACTTGAGCCACAGCTGTACTTCCAGCATTTCAGTGTCTAATTTAAGATAAGAGTCTCCTGCGTGAACTTTCCTGCCTGGACTGACTTTGAACCATAATCCTCAAATCTCAGCCTCCTGAGTAACTAGGATTATAGGTGTGAACCAGCAGCATCTAAACCAACTTTGCTTATTTTTTTAATGACAGCCTCTCCTTTCTAACCAACCAGCCCAGAATACCTAAAATGTACACCCCTGAGAAGCATTCCTTGGCAGTCATTATTTTCAGTTTGTCTCTGTGGAAGTGCATAGGTCTCCTCGTAGGGGAGAGCGTGACTACCTTTATTAGCCACATTCTCTTCCTGCCTTCCTCCATGCACTTCCTGTGAGCAGTGGGCACTCACGGCTCCCACTCCAACCCCTGAGGTCACAGCTCCCAAACCTGTCTTTGGTTTAACTGACTTCTTGAGCCCCGACCCTGACCTCTAGCAGCTATCTGAGGCTCCTGGGACATCCCCGGTGGGTTACACATCCCAACTGGGCTGGGCCCCATTTCATTGTTTTAATTATAGCTATACATAACTGCACCCCAGGCTAGCACATGAGTTAGGTACAAAGGGAGGTTTGAATCATGTTTTTGTCTCTTTGCATTCCACCTTTGAGATATTCCACTGGCATGAAAAAATGCAAATGGGATTAAACCTGAACCGGCTCAATGCGGAGTCAGAGTTTCTTGCTAACTCAAGAGTTCACAGTCCAAGTTCACCGGAGTATGACCTGGGAGCTTTGAAGACATGGTACCAGGGCCCAGCCCAGGTTTAGCGGATATGAAGGTCCAGGGCTGGGCCCAGGCAGGCGTATCTGATAGGTGTGGGCATGTAGGGGAAAACCACTAGGCCTGGCCCATGGCTCAGGGCAGTGGCTTTTTCTTTTACCTGCAGCTATCTACTATCTAAACAGAGTCCTCAGGAGGGAAACTCCTGCTCACCTTGAACCCCAAATGGCTGGCAGCTTTACCCCGATGGATACCGCATATGAAAACTCCCTATTCCTCCATGCTGAGCCCTCCCCTCCCTCTCCTCTTCTCCCCTCCCCTAGGCCTCTCGCTCGTGGTGGGCCTGGTGCTGTACATCTCCAGCATCAATGATGAGATGCTCAACAGGACCAAGGATGCAGAGACCTATTTCAACTACAAATATGGGTGGTCATTTGCCTTTGCTGCCATCTCCTTCCTCTTGACAGAGGTAACTAGCTCGCCCCGCTGTAACTTGCACCAGACTGGGCTGGGCTCTGCCCCGCCAGGCCAGGAGGAGGGGGACATTCTGCAGCACCCTAGACCCCTCCTCCCTGCCCCTCCTCATCTCCAGAACATGTCGCTCTCTGGCCTGGCCAGCTCTCCTCCACCTGGGAAGTCCCTAGGGTCCACTCTCCTCCCCCCACCCCTGCTCACCCCCACCGGAGCTCCCCGCGGCTGTGCAGCCAGGACTAGCAGCGAGCTCCTCTGTTTCTCCTCCCTGCAGAGTGCTGGCGTGATGTCTGTGTACCTGTTCATGAAGAGGTACACTGCCGAAGACATGTACAGGCCTCACCCGGGCTTCTACCGGCCGCGTCTGAGCAATTGTTCTGACTACTCGGGCCAGTTCCTCCATCCTGACGCCTGGATTCGGGGCCGCAGCCCCTCCGACATCTCCAGCGACGCCTCCCTGCAGATGAACAGCAACTACCCAGCTTTGCTCAAGTGCCCGGATTATGACCAGATGTCCTCCTCACCCTGCTGAGCCCCAGCCACCTGCCTACCTGGACTGTGGACAGCTGGACAGCCCGTCCCCCATCTCCTTCCCCTGCCTGCCCCTGAGCCCCAAGTTGGCAGGTCTAGGCCACCCCTGCTTAGCCTTTGTTACTTGACTTGTCCTCTCCCTGCTTGTCCCAGAGTAGTTCTAATGGCCAATGGAAATGTGGGAGCCTGGGATTCTGGAGCTCAGGGGCTGTGCTGATTGGCTTAGACCACAAGTGAGGCTCCGCCTCTGGGGTGCCAATCACAGCCCAGACTCTGGGAAGCCTGTAGGGCTCCACGCTAGGAAAGAGACCATCCTTGTTCTAGTTGTATATTGTTCCCACACTCCCAACTTCCTGGCCCCAACTAAGGCCAGCTCTAAAGTGCCAAGTTCCTGACACAGACACAACCGGACTCCAGTGCCTGCCAATTGGTCCGGCCATCAGGGCCAAAAGGGGATTGATCTTGAGGTCTGGCTGGCTCTGAAACATCAAGTGGGCAGTCCCTGCTGTGATGCTTTATTCTTTGATGTCACCTGCCTCTCTCTCTACACAACACACCTGTGTGTGCCAGCCGGGTTCCCAGGCTAGCGATCTTTCCACTCCTCTTGCCTCTAGAATTCAGCTGCCCTGAGCCAGAGGCCAGGAGTCAGACCCTGCCAACGAAAGTCACAAAGAGGCATTAATGGCTGAAGCTGTCTTCATCCGCATGGCCCCCAGATAACACATGGACCATTGATAACATGTTGATGCCTTAACCCAAAGAAGTGACTCCAACAGTGAGAATTTGAGAATCTGGCTGATTGGAATTCAGAGCACCAGGCACTGTGTGCGTGCCTGAGGGCATTGTCCCTACCTACAGGGGCCGTATTCCCGCACCCAGGGGCCTGACATTGAATCACGTAGGCAGGTGTCTATACCACGTGAGTAGAAGGCAGCTTTCAAAGGGGCAGCCTGGGGTGTGGAGCAGATTGCTAGTGCTTAGTACATTCTGAGTCAAAACAAGACCAACTCAGAATGATCCAGCTGCCCTCCCAAGGCTGCCTGCCTGGGAACATTTTTCGGCATTGCTCATTTTATCCTAATGCCGGGGAGCATCTGCTGCCCGGTTATGTGACATATGTAGGTAATCAGATGTCTCCAGAAGGCCAGGCAGCGTGGTAGCTGTTTTCCTGGTGGGAAATCTGAGCGGAGAGGTTGGACACATCTTCCCCCCGAAGCCTACGAGACCAAAATGGCGGAGGGAGGAGCCACCGTCACCAGCTGTACAGCCTGGTTCTCCGCTCCACTTAGACATCTTTGCTTTCCTTTTGGAAACTTTGAGAAGCAGAACAGCGTTACGCTCTCCTTTTGCTCTGTATTTTTGCTGTGCCCTGCTTTTGTCTCGCTGTCCTCCGGATACCCTCAGGTTGGGTCGCACAGAGCCACAGTGGGCAACCCAAGGGCTCTGGCAATCGTCCAGGAAGCCACCCAGTAGAGGATCACACAGTAGGAGGACACAGCTTTTCGTCAGCACAGGCCACAGGCCGGGTAGGTCCAACAATAGAAATGTACTGTCGCACGGTCATGGAGGCCGGAAGTGAAGATTACATTGTCAGCCGCAGTAGTTTCCTCTGAGGCCTCTCCCCGTAGCTTGCACATGACCAACTTCTGGTTACGACCTCACGTGGACTTCCTGCTCAGATGACCCAGAGGGCTCTTAGTTTGTATTCCCTCTTACAAATCACTCTGGGTGAGGACCTACTATCCAATGAATTTAAAGATTCGTTTTCATTTAAAGTACCTATTTCCAAATATTGTCATATTCTGAGGCACTGGGGACTAAAGATACAAATTGGAGGAGGCTGTGGTTCAGCCCCCACCAGGCAGATTGTTTTGTAGCTGGATTATTTCATCTGCCTCACAGCATGGTAAAGGGCAAAGGTAACAGAAACCAATTCTTGTCCCAGTGCGGCCATTACTCACTGCAGATCCTTGGGCGATCCCTTCTGCCTTGAGAAAATTGGTTGGAAATTGTTTCCAAGGCTACACCCCTCCCCTCCCCCCGCAGCCACAGCTCTGACGATTGAGTTCCTTTTGCTCTTCTAGGCCACTTTCCAGCTCTGTCTGCAAAGTGGCAGCAGAGGTCGAGACCCAGCTTTCTACTCCATCAGCACCGTGTAACAATTGTGCTTCTCTGTGGTTGTTGGTTACACAATGACACCTAAACCCCGGTGTCCCCCAAACCAGGGGAATCAGTCAGAACGCTTGGGAACAGCTAGGAGGCACTTCCAAGCTGGAAAGTTGTACCCATCTCAAATTTGTGTCAATGTAATTAACTTCTACAGTGCACCTCGTGCTGTCTAAAGCACTGTTTCTCTGTCACTGTGGCAGGCTTGTTGTCATGCATATGGAAAAAAATAGAATGCACTCTTAAATGCACACTGAGCATCGACTGTGATGTCATTAGGATGGGCCTTCAGCCACCGGGGCCATGCTGGGGGCCAGGAATGTGAACCCTTACAACACGTGCTGTGCATGGATCCTTGAAATGGACCTGTCACTTTCTTCCCTCACCAAGGATTGGGTGATTATCAATACCGTGCCGCCACCATACTTCCTTGTTCTTGAGACAGGTCCCCGTCACCATTTCCATGATTCAAGGAGTTTCATTGCACATGCGAGTATAGCAACTCAACTCAGAAATCATCTATTAGGGCCTTTCCTCCAATATAGTTTCTGGATTGGGGGCGGAGGAGGGGTCCATAAGCACAAAATAAAACAGAGTTAGAGGAGTTTGTTGGGATTATTTTTTTTTTCAAACAAATGAGAGGGGTAGGATGATGGGCCAAGATGTGGTGACGTGACTTACAGAACTAAGTTACTGATATTAGGAGCCATGAGAAGGAACAGCTCAACAACGGGTCCTTTTCATCTGAGATCGCCACCCTCCTCCTCTGTGGCTGAGCGACATTTCCCGTCTCCCTGTGGGGAGAATAGTCAGTTTTCATAGACGCCAAGGGGAGGAATTGCAGGCAAATCCTGTGTTCCTCAGGCTTAGGCGGATGCCCTGAGGGCAGGTGGTAGGAGAACCCCCTCCTCCAAGTGGTTTTTAGGGTTCTCTGGGGAACCAGAACGAACAGGATTCGTAGAGAGAGAATTAAAGAATTGGCTCATGCACTTGTGGAAGTGAACCACTCCATGAAAATCCGACGGGAGGGTGTATGTGGGGGGGGGCGGGGTGGAGGTTGGCAGGCTAGAGATTCGGGGAAGACTTAAAGTTCAAGTCCAGGAATAGACCTTCTTTCAAGAGAAATCCTTGTTCTGTTCATCCCTTTAGCTGATTGTTATGGAGGATAACCTACTTTTATAAATGTCTCCTGATTCAGATATTAATCTCCAAAAGTCACCTTCACAGAAACATTCAGAAGAAAATATTGGACCAAATGTCTGGGCATCATGGCCTAGACACATGAAGTTAATAACACCAGTGGATAAAAGGAAGGAAGGGGAAATGGTATTCTACCTTGAGCTCTGGGCCTTGTTAGGTAGCTAAGGCCAACTGCATGATGGGACCTTTTGCCTCTCTCTCTCTCTCTCTCTCTCTCTCTCTCTCTCTCTCTTTCTCTCTCTCGCCAGTCCTGGGCTTTGAACACAGGGCCTGGGCTCTGTTCCTGAGCCTATCTGTGCTCAAGGCTAGCTCTCTACCACTTGAGCCACAGTGCCACTTCCAGCTTTTTCTGCTCATGTGGTGCAGCTGAGGAATGGAACCCAGGGCTGCATGCATGCAAGGCAAGCGCTCCACCACTGAGCCACCTTCCCAGCCCTGCATCTCTCTTGAGTCTTGACTTCCACCTCACACTCGGTGAGCACCCTCATCTATGCTAATTTGACACTGATGAAATTAATTAGCCTTTGGAATGCAAACACTCTAGTAAATGAATGCAGAAGTGGACAAATGTGCTCCGAGCTCTGTCGAGGACAGGCTGGAACCGCGTGGGAAGCAGCTGGTGGTTTGGGCCCAGTCATGGTGGCTGCTTGCTGATCCCTGCGGTGGGAGAGAGGTGGTGCTCAAGGGCCCAACAGTTCTCACGATGATACGAGCTGGTGAGCTCTAACCAGGCCAGAGGCCCCAGCAGCCCCACAGGGCTGTGTATCCTGCACGGTGGCTGCCTTTGCTGCCTGGATTCCAGACGGATGGACCACTGATGTTCCAGCTGACAGATGTCCTCCAGGACCCACGGTGTCCGGGACACAGGCTGGGGTTTTGATCCTTCATTCCTTCACAGCTGACATCTCAGGATTCTCGCATCCTGGTGTGCTGTGACCGTGGACAAGCCACACCTCCCCTGGCCTGCCTCAACTTCCTGGCACGTAATTGAGAGCCAGGAGTCACCGTCCTCTCACTGTGGGGATGAGGGTCTCTGCTGGATGGATGGTGGCCCTGGGGAAGTTTGCGCACAGGGTTTTTCCCTCCTGGTTTCAGGGAAGCAGTGGCTCTTGTCAAAGGCCCGGGTCCCCATCAGGCTACTGCCCGCCCCCCCCCCCCCTTCATGTTTTCTATGCATTACCAGCAGAGCTTTTCATTCTTGGAATGAGGAGAGAAGGAGAAAGTCATCTCCAGCTCTGTCCCAACCCTGAAAGCTATCCGTTTAAAACAGGCAAAACACAACCAGATGCTCGCTTTCAGCTACTAGGGGAGAGCAGAGGAGGAACTTCCAATCCAGCATCTGGAAAACACTGCATGGATGAGGCCCTGGGTAACATTCAAGAGCAGATGGGAAAGCAACGGGCACTACATAATTAGAGAGTATGGCTGGGGTGGGGAAAGATGGGGGGAATGAGGGAAGGGGTGACGTGGCTCAAGAGGCATTGTACGGGGTAAGCTGAAACCCCTTAAGATTTAAGAAAAAAGAAAAGATTTAAGAAACTACTTAAGATTTAAGAAAAAGATCAGCAGGCACTAACTCATGCAAAGGGCAGAAAGGGGCTTGTCAGCTGGAAGGCACCATGTTTACAAACAGGA